CTCTTGGGCATTAGGGTCTGCATTATCGAGCTTTTTTCTCAAGGAAAGTTTAGATTTCACCCCATTTTTTCTTCAAAAGCCATTTTTTGAAACTTTGATGATAATAGAACATCATAGACGCATTTGTTACATGTGGGATTTCCTTAGAGATGAAATGTGTGTAGCTTTTGTAGCAATGCCTTTGCTTCTACCATGTTATAGCGCACTTTGCGTCGCTGTCGATCACAATTCTGCTCTTATCGCTCTGGAAATGCGATAACCTTATTTGCTCATCATTCCATAATGTTTTGCAAACAGATTTCGCCGTACTACTTTTTTTTCACAGGCAAATGTATTAGATAATCTCTGTCTTTTACGAGCGGTGCCGTCTCAACCTTTAACAAAATCAGATAGTCAGTTCAACAACAATGGTTCATTCTCGCGACAGAAAGCGATGGCGAGGATTGATAGGAGGTTGATCGCATAGTGCAAAGTTTTCCAAGAATAAACCAACAGAACTAGTTCACATCTTTGGTGCAAGCTTTTTGCCTAATGCACTGCATAGATTTTCGTGTTTTATTCATGAATCCATCGGTTCGTGAGTGGAATATTCTACTCCAGCGTGCACAGCAAAAGACCTTAGTATGTCAACCTTCTGTGTTAAATTACTGTACTTTTTCGATCTTTCAGCAGTTATATTTATATTGACAAATATCGTTGTCAAATCTCCTTTAAACATTTTCGCACCTTTTTATGTAATGTAAAAATCGCAATTTTTTCCTATTGCTATCAGAAGTAAGAAAATCTTGCAGATGTCTTTACCAAAAGTCAAGATGTTTGCGATTTAGAAGCAGTTTGTGTAAGTTAAGAAAACAAATGCACATCAAATGTTGTCAGTGCAATTAGATGTAAATGGAACTGGTACGCGTGTGTTCCAAATGTTTGCTTACTATTTCATCAGCATGTCAAAGTAAAATCCTTTACTTTCGAGTTCCAGAGTATAGGCTTAAATTTCTAATTAAATCTTAATTTATATTGGATCTTCGCAGTTTAAAAATCACTGATGATTTGATTTTAAAAGCACATTTTATGT